TATAATTTTTAGATTAAAAGATTATAAATTAAAACTAATATAATAATCAAATAAGGGTAAAATACTTTTTCCCATTCGAACTATCACGGTTTTGGCGCATCACCATATAAACTATTTTTTTGTACAAACCACCATATGAACTATACGGGTTTGTCAATATGCCTCCTAAACTGGATATAAAAGTGGTTTAGGGGCCACATTGACAAACCTGTGATAGTTCATATGGTGGTTTGTAAAAGTATTTAGGGGCACATATGGTGACAAAACAGCTTTTTCAGTCAAAACCACTTTTATATCTGGTTTAGGGGGCACATTGACAAACTCGTATAGTACATATGGTGGTTTGTTAAAAAAAAAATAGTTTATATGGTGATGCGCCAAAACCGTGATAGTTCGGATGGGAAAAATTATTTTACCCATTAAATAAATATATTCTATATTAAAAATAATATAATTATTCGTTATATAGATTCTATATTATAAATAATACAATGATAAAAAATATATTTTAAATTACAAACAATATAATGAATTAATAAATAGATTATAAATTCTAAATGATAATAATTAAATAAATATATTTTAGAATAAATAATTTGTTGATTCAGTAAATATATTCTAAGTTATAAATGATATATTAATTAATAAAATAGACTATAAATTATAAATAATATAAAAATTAAATAAATAAATTTTAAATTAGCGAATAAATATATTCTAAATTTTAAATAATATAACAATTGAATAAATTATGTTCTAAAGTATAATGATAAATATAAATCATAAATAATATAGTAATTCAGTAGATAGATTTTATTATAATTGAATGAATACATTCTAAAATATAAATAATTAAGTAAATACATTCTAAATTATAAATAATAAAATTATAACTATAACTTATAAGTAATATAACAATTCACTATATATATTATATAATAATTGAGTAAATAGATTCTAAATTATAAATAATGTATTAGAATCTATTTACTCAGTTATTATAAAATAATATACTGAATTAATAAATTACATATAATTAATAATTATAATTATATTATGTATGATTAAGTAAGTATATCTAAAGTACAAATATATATAATTTAATAAATTAGATTCTAAAATATAAATCATATAATAATCAAGTAAATATGTTTATATTATAAATAATATAATCTAGTAAAGATTTTATATATTATAAATAATATAATGATTGAGTAAATAGATTCTAAATTATAAATGATATCATAGTTAAGTAAATAGATTCGAAATTATAAATAATATAAAAACTAAATAAAGAGATTCTAAATTATAAAGAAGATGAATAATTTTATAAAAGTTTATATTAATTCAGATTTAAAAATAAATAAAATAACAAAACTTATTATATTATATCATAACAAAGGATACTTTTTTTTTTTTTTTTTTTT